CCTTCTCCTGGCTGAACAATCCCAGCTCTCTCTGCCTGTCCCTACAGGAGAGGTGCTCCAGCCTTCTGGTGGCCCTCCTCTGGACCTGCTCCAACAGGTCCATGTTTTTCCTGTGCTGTGTTCCTTTTGTACTGAAAAATCCTAAGGACCCTTCAATTAGTCTATTTATTTTTATGGGGGATGCTATGAAGACAACAGCAATGCAAATTATCTTTTCAACTGCAAGAATATATCATTTGAAATTGTGTATATCAGTAATTTCCAAGTTTGCTCCATTGCTGTGATTGTTATTACACTTAAAAAAAAAAGAAATACAGGAGCTAAGGCATTTCACATGTTAAACACAACTGAGAGGAAAAAAAAAGTTATAAAGCCTGAATAATTGCAACAACAGTAAGATGTAGATTGAAAAAAAAAAAGTTAAACAAGAAACAATTATTGTAGGTCCTCTCTGAAGTCTAAACTCACTTTTGTGTTTTTTATGGATTCTACAAAGTGTTGGCAGATGAACACTGTAATAAAAACCAGTACTGTCCCTGGTTCTCTGCTCTGCCCCTCTTCCAAACATCGACTCCACTAACCCCTGAGTGCCCAGAAAAAAGACATCTGCTGCTTCTGGAATTGATGTTGCTTAGGCATGGGGATACTGTCCCGTGCAAAGGACAAGGCAGGATGGAAATTCTTACCCCCCTGGCAGCAAGGCTTGTCACGCTGTCAGCAGCTCCTGGTTACCAACCGACTGTCTCATTTAGTTCAATTGTTTGGGTGGTAATTACAGAAGAATTTGGATATGCCACTGGTTGTTCTGAAAACGTTGACTATGGAAAATGAGGCTTTTCAAAAATAAATCACGCTTTTACATCATGAAACTACCTTTGGAAGTATATTCTGTGCGCATGAGGCTAGTTTTCACCTCCATTTCCAAAGCCAAATAAAATCACTTCTAATGAATTGTAAGAAAAAATGGATAGGAGCAAAGATTACATTTAGCTAATTTTGCAGACAAAAACCAGCATAAAGATGTTTAAGTGTTATCAAATGTTTTCAATTTACTCTTGGCGGAATTATTTCCATGCTTGAATTAGGAACTGAACAGATGCCAAACCAAGGAAGTAAGCGCATGGGAAGCAAACTGTTGAAACTATAAAGAGATTAAATAACATTTCTGAAAACTGTGTTTCTATTTGGAGACCCGAGTAAGGTTCCGGAGCATCACTTTTGTAGGCAGCTAAGAGCATGAAGCCAAAACAGTGTAACTCAATCTATGTACAGCACTTACACATAGCTTTTAATTTTACAGGGGACCACCTGAAATTTGACAAAGTTTAGGTGAGCATATGCATCAACTTGCTTAGCTTCCTTAGTTACTGAAACAAGACAGGTATGTAAACAAATGTTTTCATCAATAACCAAGTATATCAGCACTTTATACTTATTCTAATCAAAATGCCAACATGTTTGTAATAAGCAGGCCAGTGCTCTGGTAAGATTATCCTTACCGTGTGTTGGATACTGGACTGCTGTGTGCCCGGCATTTTACTGATTTTGCTGCTTTCAGGTTTGCATGGTCTAGAAAATCTTCACAGATTTCCCTAAGTGCCTATAAAATTATAGAGAAAAGCACGTTGATATCATTTCCATAATCAGTTTAAAGTCTTCTACTAAAACAGATAAGCTTTTCTCATCCCTGTGTTTATGGATTCTGTACTGTGCTGCTGCCACTCCACCAAAGACCGATCCCCACAAAGGCTGAGTTCATAAATCTCTGCGCAGCCACCGCGGGGGAGTGGAGTAATGACATGACCCGCTGCTCTGTTTCTCTGTAATAGCTTGGGTTTAGGGTTTTTCACAGGGGTTTTTTTGATGGTGTTTCTCTAGATTTAATCAGTTTATTATAAGCATATACATTCCGCTATTTCCAATTAACATCAGAACAAATTTGTGATTCTAACCTGTATTTTATGCAGGGTGTATTGCATTGTGTATTGCATATTATGCTTATATTTACACACACCCTTTTTTTTTTTTCCAAAAGGGGTAAATAGTTTTTTCAAAAAATGTTTTTTTTTTTCAAAAACTTCTTACTCTGAAGCAGTTTTGGTGTTTCTCGTTTTGTCTGCGTTTCACTCACAAGTGCCTGTCTGTGGTGTATGCATTGGCATCCAGAGGTTTAATTAAAGTAAAAAGGAAGACGCACTGAAATTTGATTTCAGTATTTTGGAATGCCTGCTCGCCATAGGTACAGCACAGCACTTTAATGCATCCATGTGATTGGTGTCAGGGACACCACCTCTTCCTGCAGCGTGCCCGCCGGGCTGGTTGCCACACAGGAGCAGGACTGTGGGATCCCAAACACACAGCTGGCTTCTGCATTTCAAGCGCCCTATAATTTTCCTTGCTGACAAATGAGTAGGAGATAGTAGTAAAAAGACCTGCAAACATTAGTCACGCTCCTTTCCAACAAGCAACAATTACACCTAATAGGTGCTCTGTCATCTTGCTCCACTTGAATTTTCTAAAGAATTCACTAATAAGAACTTGGCTTATGCTTACAAGCACAATATACTACTTCAAAATGCAAAGGAAGCAATAGCTTGACTGAAGTTTGCTAGCATATTTTCAGCTATCTGTTCAAGTTTCCTGCACGTTTATTAGTTTAGTTGTCAGTTTTTATATGCAGTTTTGGGCTGTGACTCCCCCCCCCAAGTTTTATCTTCCTAGCTATTTTCACATTAATACGTTGCATTATGATTCAATGCATTTTTTAAGTACCCAGCATGCCCAATAAGAAGTCCAGAAACAAAGATTTGTCTTAATTACTAACTACATTAAAGTGCGCACTAGAAGATATGCAGCTATTTAAATAGCTATCTAGCCTAATTAGCATAATAAATCCCACCCACTTGGAGAAAAGCGATGTAGTCCTAAGCGACTCTGGTGTTTCACAGAAGTTGTGGTCAAGTTTCTTGGACTGAAAGCACACCCTAGCATTTACTCTAGTTAAAGATCAAAACCCTTGGGAACAGCTGTTCTTCTGTTTTTCAAAGCCCCCAAAAGTGAGAGTGTCATCTCTAGAGTTGTGGCTTATCTGAAGTGTAAGTTTGCTCAATGAACTTAATATACTGTTGATTTGGTATCACCACCAGCATAGAAGTAAGATGAACGAGGTTGTAAAGCCTGTGAAGTTGAGACAGTGCCATAAGGTGCCTAAAATTTCTCATTCTAGAGGTATTAAAATGCATAGTTTTTTTCTCATACATGTAATAAATTTCTGAGGTAGCTGAAGATGGCCTTTGTACTCATAGGCCTATTTTAGTTATACCAGCCTACATACATACAGGTAGATTTGTACCTTGATTTCAGTCTGGAATTGGTTATTAGTTGATTTCTGCTCAAATATGTTCTGTGAAACATCATTCCTGTGCTTTGACACAGATGCTCAGAAATACAGCTTGACAATACACTCTCACGCTAGTGAAGCTTGAATCACCTGAGGAAAATTCCTTCAAGCAGAGTTGGATGGATATAGAAAAATTTATTCTTCACTCCTATTGAGATGAACACTGAACTGGTTTAAGCCTGGTTTGCAATTTGCAAAAAATGAAAAACAGAGGAGATGGCCAGAGTGCTAGGAGCAAGCTGATTCCGAGACTGATCATTTGTGACTCAAATGAAAATAGTTTAAGTGAAAAAAATCAAATCTCAAAACCCTGTTTGTCTACTAATACATCATATACAAAACTTCACAGAGCAATTTGATTTGCCAGATAAAGTTTAACGTGGTAGCTACTCATCTTTTCAGTAGTCCCAGGGAGACCCACAGGTCTGACTGACCGAAGCAGGAGACTGGCAACGCAAACACTCCAGGAAACAAGGGCTCACCTTCTGTGTATTTCTGTGACTGATTTCTGCTTTCTTTAGGTTTTGGGAGAGCTTCAGTCTGCACCTGACCAGCGGTTATGGCAACTGTAGATGCCAAAGGCATGTCTCCGGGGGGTCTCCTATTTGTGACAATCAACTCCACCTTCTGGGCCACGCTGCCTTTTGCTTTGGAGGACGCAGCAGCGCAATCTCTCTACTGAAGGCACTGGGTGTCAGTGCTCTTGCTCATGAGACCAACATCCGACTATTCCGGTGGGATGGCATCTCACACAGCAGCAAACCTTTGCAGCATTTCCCTTCCTCCCATCCGACCCACGAGAGCTTCCAGGCCTTAAGAGGAATTGCTCTGATGATTTGGGAAAGCGTGGAAAACTCAGGTTCAGCCAGAAGCGCCGCTGGGACCTCAGCCTTATGCACAGGGTTGAGGTTGTTCCCACCACAGCAAACCCCCCAGCCCCAGGACCGATGTCCTAACCCGAGCGCGGCTGCATCCCGTCACACCAGCGTAACCTCCTGGGAAAGGCGCCATTCCGAACCTTCTTTTTAAACAAAACCCTTTCTCAGGGAGCAGCCCGCGGGGCTGCAGGGCTCCCCTCAGCCCTCCCCGCAGTGAGCGGCGCCAGCGGGGAAGCCCCAAACCTGCAGCATTACAGAAACCCAGCTCCCGGCTCGCTAGCGCCTCCGGGACCCGCCGCAGCCCGACCACCCACAGCCCCGGGACGCGGCCCCTCAGGCCCGGGCCTCCCCCTCCGCCTGCCGCCGCCCGGCCCGGCCCTGCCCTGCCCTGCCTGCCGTCGCTCGGGGAGGCTGCCCGCCTTGCCCCCGCCTAGCGGAGCGTGAGGGGCGCTCCCCGTCACACCCGCCGGGGCTGGGAACCATCCGCCCCGACCCCAGCGCCCTCGCCCCCCGCTCTCCGACTGCGCACTCAGCCGAGCCCGCCGCCCCCAATCCCCACAGAACCCGCCCCCCCCGCGCCTCGCGATTGGTCGACCCCGCTGTCTCTCCAGCCCTTCCCCTGCCCATTGGGCGAGGCCGGGGCACCCCCCCTTGCCCCGCCCCGCCCCTCCCGGTTCTGTCGGTTGAGGCGAGCCGAGAGTAAATAGAAGCAGGAGCCCAAAATGGCGGAGCCGCCGAGTCCTCTTCGTGGCGCGGTGTCGCCCGAGCCGGAGCCGTTCGGCGCCAGGCCGGCCCCGGACGCGAAGGTTTCCCGTGGGTCCCAGCCAGCCGCTAAGAAGATGAAGGCAGCCGATGAGAGGAGCCTGAAGGGCGCTAAGCGCGTCAACGGTGAAGGGGGCGGTGGTGGCGGCAACGGCGGGGGCGGGCAGCAGGTCTGGCCCCTCCGGGGGAGCGGGGGGCTTCGCTTTCCCCTCACAACTGCCCCGGAAGCTGCTGTCCCCCGCTGTTTTGCTGCCGTCGTCCGCCTCCCCCTCCTCCTCGTCCTACCAGCAGCACCAGCACCGCCACCACCGGCACCGCCTGGCTCTGGCCGTCGAGGCGGGAGGCTGTGGCAGCGGCGGGGCGGCCGGCGGGAGCGCCAAGCCCAAGAGGCCGAAGGAGAAGCGGGACAAGGAGAGGAGGAAGCACGGGGCCCTGCCCGTGGTGGCGGCGGTGGGAGATGGCGGCGGGGCCCTGAGCGCGGCGGGCCGGGAGGAGAACGGAGAGGTGAAGCTGCTGTTGTCGAAAGGTGAGGGGCGCGGCGGCTGTGCGCGGCCCGAGGGGCCGGGAGGAGGGGTGTTGGAGGCCGGGGGGAGCTCTGGAAGGGGCAGCCGGGCCGGGCTGGGTAAGGTGGGTACGGTGCTGGAGGTTGGAGGTGCCGTGAGGGAGCGGGAAGCGGTCGCGATGCCGGCTGGCTCCGGGGCACTGCCCCCCTGCACGGGGGCCCCCGCCGGGCTGCCCCCTCCGCCCTGCCCGCCGCGGAGCCGGGGGAGGCCGGGCCTGCGGGCCGGCTGCCGGACCCTGCTGGGGGACCGCTGGCCTTGCCCGAGTTTGTGGGGAAGGCAGTGGCGGCTCAGGCTGCCGTCAATCCTGTCAAAAAAAGGGGGTGTGGAATTAGCGATGGCGTCAGCCAGAAGCTGCCAGAGGCCTTAGGTTTTCTTACCTATTAGGGAAGTAAGGGTGCCTGGTAATTTACTAGAGATTTGCGAACGAAACTGCATTTCTGTCATTGCTGTCGGTGCAAAAACAGAGAGGACCACATGTTAAAAAAAAACAAAAAACAGCCAAACCCGCAATTTTAGAACTAAATCGAGAGTGGTCTCGTTTATTAGGCTATTAATTTTTACAGGGTAAGTCATCGAATACTAGAGAGCATGCAGTTAAAATTTAGGTACTTAGACTTCTGAAATCTCGCTCAGTTGCTGCTTCAGGTTTGCTTTATTTCCTGAAGATCACTGGGCTAAAAGCTTCCAAGAAATGCTTGAGGCCTTTTGGAGAAAGGGAGGAGTCTTGGGTTAGTTTATTAGTGGGGCTTGGCAAAAATGGCTATATCAGGTAAGGCAAGATACAAGATTAGGTTCTTGCTTAGATTCTTGCTAATTTTGATCAGCAGTAGGTGCCTGTGAAGTAAAAGACAATACATGACTATATGAAGACAATACAAAAATGCATGCTTTTATTTCCAGTATGTGCTCTCCCAGTCTCCAGTGACCTTAAACCAGATGTTGATGCTTTTGCATTTACATTGAAATACGAAGCACTCGAAACGTTCACTTCATTACCTACTTTAAGCAAGTTTCCTTTCTTTTAAAGGAAAGAGAAATTTTAGGTGTTAAGTAGGCTAAGGTTATTCTGATTGTGGCCTATATCTGTCCTTCAGGATGAGCCAAGCTTGTGGATAACAATTACTAACACCAGTATCCCATTTTGTCTATTGATTACGTTGTCTGGCTGCCTTACTGTATTTTCCACTAATTTCTACTAGTATCTTAGTCTCTGATTCACTTACCTTCAAGTATTTTTTTTAATTGCTTGTTCTTTTTGGTCAGGATGTTGCATGTATTCTTGGGTTCTTGATTGCTGGTGTACAAGTAGAAATAATAACCATATTCACGCAGAATATGTGTCCTACCACTGTTACACAATCATGTTAATCGTGTAACAGGTTGAAATGTTATTTTACACATTGATAAAAGAAAAGATGACATTGATGGTGTCAGGTGAATAATTGTTAATTGACCCCTCCCGGAAGCAGTGATTTGTCTTTAAAAACGAGGTTTTGCACCTTGTATCTGGAAAGGATATTTTCTCACAACTAATATACTGACAAATGCAAGTACTTGACTTTTTATTTGCTGTTTGGTCAGAACAGGTCTTTGTAAAATTGTATATATATAAAAAAAAATCACTTATTTTTTGAAAGCTTAAGTACAGGCAACAAATAACATTTTCCAAAGCAATTGATGCCTGTATGGCATCTGGTTCTCCAGAGTTCTGTTTAGAGTAAGTAGTTTCTGTAGCTAAAATTTTGTGGTGTATTTTCCTATATAAATTAAAAACTTTATATTCATTAGACTGTATATTTTTGCATAGAAGACTGTAAGAAAGTGAGGGATGCGCTAAGTCTTCTAATGAGAGCAACCAGCCTTTTTAAAATGCTTCTGTATTTGACTGTAGATTAAAGAACGGGTTTGTGCTGTTAATCCTGTGAATAATTTACTTTTCAGAGAGGAAAGAGAAATACAGTTATGATATGGGGAGGAAAGAATGACTTGGGGAAGGAGGGTGCATGCAGAAGCTGAAGTACAAAGGAAGACTAAGAATAATGCATTAGGGTGGGAGCGTGGAATGGGCAGAATTTGTGGATTGGGATTGCTGGTACTGTGGCGTAGATGAGAAGAGGATAGCGTAGGGACTCTGGTTGCAGCAGCGAATGAGTGAATGGAATGACTGAATTTGAGATACTGACATGAGAGGGAGGAAATGGCATACAAAAGCTGTGTAGGAGGAGGTGATTCTGATCTTGTTTTGGGGCAAAAGACATTGTGTAGGTGCTATAGGAAAGGCAAGGAAAGAGTGAAAAATTTAGGCAGCCTACAGATATGAAATCAGAGTAAATTTAGGGGATTTTGTGTAATAAAAACAGAGGTTTGCACACACAGAATATATAGGGGGAATGCAGGGATAAAATGTGCCCCTTTAGGTCTAATGTGGTGAGTTCATAGAAATTGTCTGCACCATACGTGCAGCTGGTAATACTTTCTGAAAATCAACCTCATGCAGGCAAGTGCCGTCTCCTTTTCCTGGAGGCTGCAGTTGGACAACCTTTTTGATTTTGGTTCTATGGAAAATGGCCAGCAATGTGGAATTGAGAGTATTGATTGTTTTTCTGTCATAGCATTCAGAACTGATACACATATTATTGTTGCACATGCCAGAAAGAAAATTGTGCAGGTGAGAGGACTAGAGGCAAAGCTGTCAAACGATAAGCAGATGGAAGGGGTGAGATTTCCTTGATTTGAGGCTCTGAAGATGGAAAAACTCCATTCTTGTCTTCGCAGTTACAGCAGAGATGCATTGCGTGTGGGTACATGGGATGGAGTGGAATTCCCAATTGAACTTTGTACTGATAAGGGTGCCAGTGTCTATGGATTGGGAGGAGTCATGTTTCTAATTGGGGAGCTGTATGCATACTCTGCTACGTATAAGAATTGCGGTGGTGCGTGTGTAGCAATTCCTGTGCTCAGAGAAAAAGCTTTACCCTGGTGAGAGAGGGAAGGTGGGTGGGCCTGCACAGACCTTGGTACTGGAGAACACAAGGAATGAAGCTAGGTGGGATCAGGAGGAAGAATGGCAAGACTTGTCTCGTGGGAGTGCTGGGATTGTGGTGTAGACAAGATAATGCAGGGAATCGAGGCACACAGTCATGTGGAGTGAATGATTGTGAGGACTTGGAGAACTGTCATCATAGGACTTTGAGCAGTACCAGTAGCATTTTCCTAATTCTGGTTTAATTACTGTGATGATGACAAGGGGTATTGACACTGAGGAGGAAGTTGGGAGAGGTTTATTTAGCTACCATTCAAAAAGCTGATTTTAGGAGCTGATGTTTGTCCTCTGCTAGCAATAGTGTTCACTGGATAAGAGAGCCTGGTTTTAAGGCACCTTTATTTCCGAAGTGATAGGAAGATGTTAGGCATGGTTATAGCCAAGATGGGTGATGTGTTTAAAGATCTCTAAAATTTTGTATTTTCTTCCTTGAACACATCTTCATTTACCCATTTCTCTGGTCTTTTAATTAACTGGAAAGACCTTTTAACTTGCAGAGTCATAACCAGGCCTTACAGCTTGTGTTTAAATTAAATGAATGGAGTTGAGTGAACCATTTTGAAATGATGATTTAGCATGCAGAGAACCTGGAAGACCATTTTGCGATATGCATGATTCATCCTGCAGATACGAGTTTTAGGCTGTTAAATAAGCTTAAACTTCACTTGTCAAGTACATTCTGGTAGTGGAATTAAAAGTTGTGTAACTATTTTTGTTATAAAACATGGTGTGAATCTGACGGAAGTGATTGCTGTTCCAGTTCATGACTATCCCAATTCAGTTAGTCATTTAACTGATAGTCTGCTCCAGCAGTTCATAGTTGAAATTGTTTTCTTAACAGTGCAAAGCTCAGCTCAGCCACTCCCCACTTCATCAGATGATGCCTGCCCCAAATTTCTTCTTTTGGTCTATAGGTGGACCTTACCTGCTGTATGGTGTGATCCAGATGCATGAACCATCTTTTCTGTTTTTCTTGCTGTTTCTGTGTACAACTTCCATTTCTCTCCATATTTTTTTTTCTTCAATGATCCACTTATAAGGTTATTTTAGTGTGCAAGCAGTTACAAAATGAGACAGGTATTTTTAACTTGCAGATGGGGGTTCCCCGTTAGAGCAGGAAGGCTGGTATTGTAGCTCTTGTTTTTACTTCTAGTCTTTTTGTATGTGTTTTTTTTTTCTCCTGCTTATGTTTGATTTCAGGTGGGCATTTGCCAGTGATTCTTCTGATAACTCTGTTGCTTTGGGTTGCATGACACTTACGGGTTTTAATCTTTCAAAAAATAGTACCTTTCAGGCTGGTTAAGTTTGGTTTGCATGTGGTGGGATGATTATGTCATAGTCTGATTTACTGAAGATCCAAAACGTACTTTCATCTTTTTGTCTTCTTCAGAGCTGGGACCATGCATCTTGATAGTTAGTTTGTCTTTTTTCTTCTGCTAAACATTTCCTTCTTCTATTTCCTTTGCTTTTTTTTTTTTTAACTGTGTGGCGTGACTCACTTCCCCCTCCCTACTGCCAAACTCTTTAAATTCAGCAGTCATTTTCATGCTTGTGAGGTCTCTTGGTCACTTTCTTCTGAATTCTTTACTGTGTTTCTATTTAGATACCCTACTGTAATCAGCAATGTCTAGAAAGTGTTCAGTGGTTTAATTGGGGTATACAGAAGGAAGAGGGACTTCTCAAATTTCTTTGTTGATTTGTATGCAGTTTAGTTTTGAGAACTAATAGTGCCATTAATGTAAGCATCCAATGTTGAGATGAATTTGAAGAGTTTATCTTTCTCCTGAGGGACCCTGCCCCCTTCTCGTTTCTATAAAATAACCATGAAGCTTTGCTATACAGGACAAAATCTTTCATTCTCTAAGCTGGAGAACAAACAAAGCCCCCCTCAACCCCAGAGTCTAGCTCTGAGTGTAGTTT